CGATCTGCAGTAGCAGTAGCAGTAGCAGTAGCAGTAGCAGTAGCAGTAGCAGTAGCAGTAGCAGCGGTAGTAGTAGTAGTAGTAGTAGTAGTAGTAGTAGTACTAGTAGTACTAGTAGTACTAGTAGTAGTTGTAGTAGTAGTAGTAGTAGTAGTAGTAGTAGTAATAGGAATACAAATAGTGATGGTAACAGCAGTACTGTTTAAAATACCAACAGCAACATTAGCAGTAGTAGTAGCAGTAGCACTAGCAGCAGCAGCAGCAGGAGGAGCAGCAGAGCAATGGCAGCAGCAGCAGCAACAGCAGCAGCAGTAGCAGTAGCAGCAGCGGCAGCGGTAGCGGTAGCAGTAGCAGAAGCAGTAGCAGTAGCAGTAGCAGTCGCAGTCGTAGTCGCAGTCGCAGTCGCAGTCGTCGTGGCCGTCGTCGTCGTAGTGGTAAGTAGGAGCAGCAGCAGGGGCAGCAGCAGGCGCAGCAGCAGCAGCACCAGCAGCAGTGGCGGCAGTGGTAACAGCAATAGTAATCACGACAGCAATAGTAATCGCAACGGCAACAGTAAAAGCAACCGATTTAGTATCAGCGTTACTAATACTAACAGTCTAACAGTAACTTCAACAGTAACAGAGAAATAGGAGTAGTAGTAGTGGTAGTAGTAGTAGTAGTAGCAGCAGCAGCAGTAACCTAGCAGTCATAGTGTGAGTAAGCTTGGTCGCAGTATTAGTAGCAGCAATATATGGTCATACGGCGGTTGCTGACAAAGCAGCCGACAGCGGGTCGTCGAGCAAGTAAAGTGAGGCATCGCTGTACGCTGCGCGCGCCAGGCTGACCCGGGCCTTCCTCGGTGGCGAAGTGTGCTGCGAGTTTCGAGGCCCTGATACAGGTCACTTAACGACTAGAATAGAACAGTGTTCAGGGGCATGTAAAACACAACTATAGTGAAGATCCCTACGAATAATTTTGGTAGGCTAGTAAGCATGGTGAGGGTGGCCATGTGAGTGATGGCGATCATGATCGGCGATGACAAAGATGATGAGGATGCTGTTGATGATGATGTTGGTGGTGATGATGATGGGGAGGAACGGCAGGATGACGATGAAGATGACTGAGAAGGAGAAGGAGGAGGGGGAGGAGGAGGGGGGAGGAAGAGGAGGAGGAGGAGGAGGATGGTGATGATGATGAAGATGACGGGTATGCATGTCGTCCTGGTGATGGTCATGGTGGTGGTCATGATGATGCTGATGGTATGGCTAAGCACATGACCATGACAACAACAGCAGCGATAGCGAAGATACGGATGGAGAGGGGACAGAGTAGAATTGTGAACTTCATTGAGATGTGCTGATGCTGATGCAGGTGTTGGTTGCTGTCTGATGGTGACGGCGCTTCGACAATGGAGATGACCACGAAGATTGCGGTGATGATGGTTCTGATTCTCACGGCGATGATGACGATGTACAACAGCAGCAGCAGCAGCAGCAGCAGCAGCAGCAGCAGCAGCAGTAACGCCAGCAGGAGCATCAGATTTCGATACGTGTCAATGCTGATGCTGCCTTTGCTGAGGTTGCTTCGGGATGCGGGGTAAAGGGTGTGAGGGTCCGGAGAGGATAGGTGATTGAGTCATGCCCAGCATCAACTTAAACGACAAACCTCCCACGCAAGATGCTTCACGTTCTGCTTGCAACATCTTGCAACCAAACCTGCGAACGGGCACCTTGCCCCCACACAGCCAGAAAGCATTTGGAGCTCACGACAGCCTAAACCTGTCTGAGCCCACTGAGCCCCGCATCACAAATTCAGCATAGCGGCTGGCCGCCAGACAAGTTCACCCCTCGCTCTCCGATGATGGTGGCTTGACCGTCCTCCGTCTCGTCCCGTGGCTGAGCTGCCCCAAAACATCCTGTAATATAGGGGCCTTAATAATTAGAATAGGGTTTTGGGGGTTCCTTCTTATTACAATCATAGTATACTAGGCCCCTACATTAACCACAAGCACCCCTGACTAAGAATTGCACGCAGTCCTTCCGTGCTGCGAGAACTTTCAAATATTGGCAACCGAAGGACAACATGACATTACAGGGGTGCCTCGGTTTCTCCGCCCCCCTCTGTGATCACACTGCAACATCCACAACTTCCAAGCACTGGTCTTGACATTATACAGAGATGTCATCGAATCCATGCAAGCACCCATGGCCCATAATACTGTAAACCCCGACCGCATCCACAACCGGGAAACACGGCTAGTTACAGCACATTCCGTCGGTGTTGAAGCTGCGCGCAACGTCAGAGAGGCAGAGGGACGCAGGAGACACAAATGAAAGCACCCTACACCCTACACCCTAAACCCTAAAGCCTAAACCCTAAACCCTAAACCCTAAACCCTAAAGCCTAAACCCTAAACCCTAAAGCCTAAACCCCAAACCCTAAACCCTAAGAACGTCATGAAGGCTGGAGGGCTTAGGGTCTGAAACTCGCTTATGCCATGTCCTGCAGCAGGGCCAAGTCGGGGCGCAAGGAGCAGACATCTACCACCTTGGGTTTTTTTTTTGACACCTTTTTAGGGTTTAGGGTTTAGGGGGTTTAAGGTTTAGGGTTGAGGGTTTAGGGGGTTTAGGGTTTAGGGTTTGATGTCAGGCTTCCGGACTCACTCAAGACGCCCACTGCCAGTGTCAGGATGATCAACGACACCATTGGATTGATTCTTAGGGCGCTGTCAAGATCGAGTCGGATTTCATGGCTCCTGTTGCCGATACCGCACCCAATTCTTTCTAGCAGTGGTACATACGACGAAGCCTTTCCTTTGGCGTCTATGACAAGATCAGGCGCATGGTCCTTCTTGCTACTGATCCATACGATCGTCTTTACCAGCTCGAACTGGAACCGAATTGGAGCTGATGTGAAAAGGGTTTAACATCAACTGTTCCTGGTTAGAGCCTAAGAGTCTGCAAGATAAGCTCCCTTCCCCTCCCAACCTTCGAAAACTTCTCTTCATCATACCGTTTGCCAAAGGTGATGTTGTCCTGCACGGTCCCATGCCTTGTGCACCAAGAATTCGCAAGGCACGGTACTTTTTTGGCGTCGGGCTTATGGTGCGCTTCTGCAGCTCAGGGCCTTCTGATTGCAGTTCCTGGTGAGCTTGGCAACAAAGATCCGGGCTGTAAGACTGCAGAAATACATGGAGCTTCCCCACGGCTCAGGGTTTCTATTTCGATTTCAATGCAATGTTCCCGATTCTCCAACCCCAGATCGGTCTCCGAACGTGTTCGCTGCAGGCGGCACTGACGGAGGTCTGGACCCCAAACCAACAACCCTGAGATACACGAAATTAAAACCCCTTATAGCTGTATAGAAGCCCGAAAGAAACCCTGCAGGGAACCCCAAACCCCCCTAACCTCTGGAATGTTTGGAGCTGAAAAGTTCGAGGATAGGATTGGGACCCAAAAACCTAATCTAGGTGCCTTGATAGTTAGACCCGGGGTTTTGGGATATAGACTAGTACAAAGCATACAGCAAACCAAAAGGGAAAAATTGCTCCCATCTTCGCAACACCTACATACAAAGCCCTGAAAGTGGCCTTTGGACTTTACACCCTAAACCCTAAACCCTAAACCCTAAACCCTAAACCCTAAACCGAGCAGGCGAGGGGCAGGAGCCAGGGAATCTGAGCGCAGTAGGCGACGGAGCCCAGAAGCCTGCTGACTCATGGTTTGTTGGCCTCTTGTTTAAGGGTTTAGGGTTTAGGGTTTATTTAGGGTTTAGGATTTAGGGTTTAGGGTTTAGGGTCTAGGGCTGTCGTGTGTGTAGATCTGATGACGCTGCAGCACCCTCAAGGATGCTTTGCCAAGCGGGCTGCAGTGCGCAAGGCTTCGGGGTTTCGGGCCTGGGGCTTCGGGCCAAGTCAGATTCATTCAAAAGGGTTTTTTAGGGGTTCGGGCTACCAGGGGGCGGGGTATTGCCACGTCTAATCGAGGGCCAGGGTTCTATCTTTGAGACCGGGAGTTTCGAGTCCCCAATGCAGGGGCCTTAGTAACTAGAAGTGCATACTATACAGGCACTATATTACGGTGATCATCCTCTGAACTTTCCGAAGCCATGGGACGGAGTCACCTGCAGAGAAGACCCGAAACCCTTCGACCCTTGAAAGCCACAAAGCACCCGTGCGAAACCCCTCCAAGCCCGAAGCCCCAACATCCCGCTACCCGGAACCTTCAACACTCGAAACATCATGGAAAAATGCTCGATACTTGAAGCACCCAAATCCAGCCAAAAAACAGGAAAGTGCTGAAACCCCTATCAGTACGCCGAGCCCCCGTCAATCCCCACACTTCAAAACCGAAAAGCTTTCATCCTCACTCCTAACCGCTAAAACCAAAGCCGTAAGCCCCAAGCTTTTTTGTTCTGACAGCTGTGTATCTGTAGCATCAAACAGCAAAAAGTAAACCGCCCCAACCAAGAGCTCCAACAAGCCAAACATCCAATTCCCTGAAAAGCAATTCTAAACAACCATTAAAAGAACCCGCAGAAGCCCCTCGTCAAACCCACAGAAAGCCAACGAAAAACCCGTATCAACTCTTCTGAATCTCTGCAAAACCCCCATCAGCCCTCAAAACACACCCTTATGTAAACCCAAATGTAACACCAAATGAACCCCCAAAACCCTAAACCCTAACCCGAAGCCTCAAACCCCAAAACCCTAAGCCCCTTAAAGAAAGCCCTTAAGCCCTTAGGGCTCGGGAGTCCAAGGGGCTCAATCCGGCCAGCCAGCTGCGGGACCTCACCGAGGATGGCGGAGAGAAGCCTCGGAAAGCTTCGGGGCAGTTTAGGGCTTCGGGGTTCAGGGTTTAGGGTTTAGGGCTTCCCTATAGTTTAGGGTTTAGGGTTTCCCGACAGTTTAGGGTTTTGGGTTTAGGGCTTCCCTACAGCTTAGGTTTAGGGTTTCCCTACAGTTAAGGGTTCATGGCTTAGGGCTTCCCTACAGTTTAGGGTTTAGGGTTTAGGGCTTCCTTACAGTTTAGGGTTTAGGGTTTTTCAGCACTCACAAGTGGGACAAGCCTGGCGAGGTTCCAAGTACCTCGAAAGCACATTGGCTGGGGCAGGCACATTCACCGACCCAAACAAACAGACAATCTAATTCACAATTTCATCCCAACATCACTCACACTACGTTGTGTCCACTTCATCTGGCCTTGAACTGGAGCCCACATCTCCACACAACTTCGCTGACTCGTTGAAGACACACCGACTAGCCCCGCACCCAGCATCTCGGGAGCTAAGACATGCACATGCACCCTTGCATGACACGTCCTAGCTCAGAACCTCCAGGATCATGGACTGCGGTGGAAAGCTCTGACTCGGAAACATGTCCGTGCATGTCCACGCTGCCATCGGAACTAGGACAGGTACATGCAACACGGCATGGTCTCTCCTAGTCCCAACCACTGGTTCCGAGCTCATCTGAAACTCGTTAGCTTCAGTTGTCTCGAAGCCTCTGCTGCATCCAGGGCAGAACTTACTCCCAGTACCAACTCGAAGCCAGTCAGTGGAGGCATTCGTCGTCAAGCTTGTATTCTCATTTTCTTCGTGCGACATGCAGCATGCAGAAATGGGAGCTGGCACCCACTTGCAATAAATTCTCAGCTCACAGTAAATTCCTACAAATCCCAAGCATGCATCTTCAGCGCAGAGATCATAAATTCATCATGCAGAATGCACCGTGCACTCATCTTGCTAGGACTCGCTGCGGTGGATTCGGGATTCCCTCGTCCTATGCTCCAGTCAAGCACGTAGTCATTGCTGATTGCTATCCGTCGGCACTGCCAGCCAGGAGGCGCCCTTTGCAGATCATGGGTTCCAGGCTTTCTCTTCTGCCCGGGAGAACCCATAGACTGGGTCGTCTGCTCATAGCCACCATGGATGGCATCGCAAAGGGGGGTTCGTGGTTTCAATAACCCAGCAATGGAAGCATCTACCTAAACCCGAGACGGGACGACGGCACGTCATTTTGGCACGTTTGCCCCGGGGAGCGGGGGGACATTAAACGAGCGGTAGGTGGAGCCAGTACTCCATCTCCTCTTCTTCTTCGGTCCTCTCGCCAGGCTGCCCATGCCATTTGCATCATCTGGCGCTCGTGAGCCCGCTGGGCAAGCTTGAAAGCAATGTTGGGCCATCGGCCCTCCGTGGCCAGTGCAGCTTGCTCCTGCACATGACTTGCGGCTACCAGAGCGACGTTGGCCTGCCGAAACCGCTGCTGTGCAGCCAGGCTGTGGTACAATCGACAGCAACTCCGACACGGTGTTTGCAGCCAGAGGGGAGCCATTCGGGACAAGCTTTTGGCTACCCACCGACGGCACCTTGGCCTTCCATGTTGGGAACATTTGCTCCTCCCAGTAGATGTCGATGTCCTCTCGCGGGTATCCCTGTTTCATGTAGTAAGCGATCGTTTCATCGTACGAGTACTTCTGGCCGTCCAGAGGATCCGTGCGCCTGGAGGCCGTCGTACAATCCTACCTACAAATGGGAATCCGGCCCTGGGTTTCCCTAGGGTGTAGGGTTCAGGGTTTAGGGTCAACAAAACCAATAAACAAGTCTTGGGCAACAGTAGATAACATGCTGTGTTCATGACCCTTCTGGCTGCGCTTTATCCTGGCAGTGCCGCTGCCTTTTTGGGGATCCTAGCGACTGCTAATGTTGACATGACGAACACGATGACAGAACTCCAGGCGAAGACATTACACCCTAAACTGCAAAATCAAAGCTGAAGTGACCCACGGACGCCAAAAAAGATAATCACTTCTGAACACTTCTGTCTTATAGGGAACTAGAGCTTGCACTGACGGTTTGGGGCCCAACTCGATGCTCACACTCGCACAAAGGCGGCTGCGAGGGCCTTTGGGGCTGTAGGGCTCTGAGAGCTCAGGGTTTAGGGTTTAGGGCGGGTTTAAGGGTTTAGGGGTTTAGGAGTTTAGGGTTTAGGGGTTTAGGGGTTTAGGGGTTTAGGTTTGGGGTTCCTTCAAAGATCTCAAGTGCCGTCTGCGGCGACGTGCTCTTGCCGCAGCCCACAGGGCCAGTGATCAAGGCGAACTTGCCATGGAGCACCTCAAGGCAGCTTGGGCTTGGGCCTCGGAACCCGAGACTCGAAGTCACGGTGTAGGGTTTAGGGTTTAGGGTTTAGGGGGCCTTAACAATTAGGATAGGGTTTTGGGCCCCTTTAGAATATAATTATAGAAAGGAACTCCCAAAATAATATTGGTAACTATTTAGGCCCCTACATTAGGGTTTCGGGCTTCGGCGCTCACACTCGGACAACCCAGGCGAGGTTTATGAGAAGAATCGGGGCCCCAAACCCAAAAGCCCCAAACCGCTTCGAGGAGAATGCTGAATCCTATGCCCCGAAACCTTGAGATCCAGGAGCGCCGAAGACAAAAATAAACACCAAACCACTCTGAACCCTAAACCCGAGACCCGACTGCAAACCCTAAACCCGAAACCTGAAAGCTAAAACCCTAAGTCACCCTAAACCTTGCAACCCTCAACCCGAACCCTGAACCCTCTCTGTCTCTCGCTCTGAAACCCTGAAACCCTGAACCCCTAAACGCGACGAAACCCTCCACCCTGAACCCTGAAATCCGAAACCCTACTGTAAACCCTACACCCAAAACCCGAGAACCTAAACCGTGAACCCTTAAACCCTAAACCCGCAGCCCTACTGTAAACCCTTAACCCAAAAACCGAGACCCTGAACCCACCATACACCCGAGACCCTAGACCCTAAACCCCTAACCCGAAACCCTCAAACCCTAAACCATCCTAAACCCTAGACCCTAAACCCCGAAAACCCCTAAACCCCTAAACCCTAAACCCCTAAAAACCCTCAAACCCTCAACCCTTGAAACCCTAGACCCTAAACCCCTAACCCCGAAACCCCTAAACCCTCAACCCCAAACACCGGCCTCCAGCAGGCTCACTTTGAGATGGACTTGCCGGGCCGGAGCGGCGGGCCTCGCTTGAAGCGGGGATATGACCCCTGCACGAGCGGGGCCTCAAGGCCTAGGGTTTCTGGGATTTTTTTAGGTTTTGGGTTTAGGATTTTTTTCGGATTTGGGATTTTTTAGGTTTTGGGTTTAGGATTGTTGTTTCGGGTTTGGGATTTTCTAAGTTTTGGGTTTAGGGTTTTTTCCCACCCGCCCAGCTGACAAAGTCGCACCGCAGGGAGCTTGTTGGAAGCTGCACAGCTTTCGACAGAAGGGGTCAAGGACCACACACTCCCGCGTTGGAAAAGCGGTCCAGGCTTTGGGATTTTAGGTTTAGGGTCTAGGGTTTGGGATTTTCTAAGGTTTAAGGCTTAGGGTGATTGTTTTGGTTTCCTGCAAGGGTTCTACAGGGGATCTACAATGGTTCCATGATCTAGGGACGGGGCATCTGACAGTATAGCTACACTGGGACTATAGGGGAATACTTCTGCAAAAAACGATGCCTATCGAAATGAGAGTGGGACTATGCTATAAAACTGCTCTTGGGATACTATAAAGGTGGCATGAGGGGTACTATGGGGTGACAGTAGGGGTTACTATATTGGTCAGACAAGACTTCAAATCACCAGTGGTCTGGGGCCCCGTGGCTCCACCCGCCCTCCTCAAATCATCAAATCTCACAAATAAGCCAACCCCACCGGCCCAGATAAAGGGCCTGATAAGATGGTAGCCTTTTATGCACCCTAAACCGTGCAATACACTCAAAGCACCCTCAGACCCACATCCCGGAAACTTGTGCACGGAGCATCTGGGGGGTCCGTTGAGTCCGTCGCCTTCCAGTTTGATATCTGGGAGTTTCCGGAAATTAGGGTACCTTATTTTGGGGTCTTCATAATGAGGATCCTACTATTTTTGTACTATATTAGGGTCCCCTATTTTCGGAAACCCCCATCTCCAAAGACCAAAAGGCGGCAATGGTTTAGGGTGCTCAGAAGGGGCAAATCTAGGACCACATCTTTACAGCACCATACATGCAACCAGTCCAAACCCAACATACTGTTCCGAAACTGCCTCTCTGGCCCAACACCAAATTCTGGTAGGTGGCAGCGCCGTCATCGCCAGCAACGCCTCGGATCCTGGCCGTGGGGCCCGGGACCAGCGAGGAAAGCAGCGTCGAGATCCAGACTGGGCCTGGGTGCGAGAAGGTTCCAGAACGTAACCCCTATCGTCAGAATTTCTGCGACCGTCGTCGTCACCACCAGCATGATCATCATCATCATCATCATCATCATCTGGTCGTCCTGGTCGCCACCTCAAAGACATAATGTCACAGGCCATGGTCGCGGCGTGGGATTCGGCGGCGGCAGCGCTTGTACTCCGACTACTCCGAAGAGCTAAACGACGTCTAGCCCGACGGGTGCTAGCACAAGTCGGCCACTGTGCCCCCTCCATGCCTATCAGTGTTGTACAGACATGTCCTTTTTGCGCGAAGACAAGTTTCCAGGCTTTCTACGACTACGGATTTTGCACAGCGTCGTTGGCAAAGACTGGGCCTCTGAGAAAGCAGGGAGCTTTCGCAAATATAAGCACCTGCCTTCTCTTCCAACAATGACATGTTTTTATGTGCGTACATCTGTGTATGTATACATATATATATAGAGAGAGACATATAGACATGTACATATACGCACACGCATGTATATCTGGAGATGCACTTACATGCATACACACTTCCATGCCTGCATACATACAAAAATACACGTGTACATATGTGCATATGCACAGATTTTCTACCTATACACATATACACACAGATCTGCATACATACATATATACTTCTACACAGACATATGCACAATTATAAACATGTACACAGACACACACACACACACACACATATATATATATATATATGTACATATATATATATATGTACATATGCACATATACATATAAACATATACATGTATACATAGATACATATGTACTTATATGTACAAATGTATATATATATATATATCTATATGCCTAGATACCTATATACCTATACACCTATAAACCTATATACGTATATACATATGCATATAGGACATACACATAAACATATATATTTATACATGTATATATATATATACACATGTAATCAGATGTATATATATATATATACATATAGACATATACACGTATCGACGTACGTATACAGGCATACAAAAGGACAGAACTATTGCAAATATGCATGCAAAAAACAAAAAACAGATTTACGTATGCACACATAAGAAAAATGGATAGATGGATAGATAAATAGATAGATAGATAGGTAGGCAAATAGATAGACAGATGGATCGATAGATAGATGGGTAGAGAGATAGACAGACGGACGGACAGACAGACAGATAGAAGATTTGTGCTGTATATCGTATCTAACGTAATCCTAGACTCCAGCGTAATCCTGAATCCCTAAAAACCCTAAGCCCCTAAACCCTAAACGCGAACAGCTCCTTCATAGACCCCTTTTTAAAGCCGTATAGGGCCTACATATATACCCCTACCTTCATCAGTGCAAACCCGAAAAAATAGCATCAACCCTAAAATCTAAACCCTACATGAATGCATCCGAAGCTTCCCTCGGGGAAGGCCCCTCCTCTTCCGACTCCACGCGATTGGGCGTGGCCCAGTGGAAGCTCGCGCTCTGCAGCTTCACGGGGGACATCGCAGGGCCACACTCCTTCAAAGGGCAACAAGACCAGCAATAGGTCTCAACATAGTAATGGTAATAAGACCTACAACAGCAACAGCAACAACTGCAGCAGCAGCTGTAGCAATAATCGTCGTCAGTAGTCAATTTATGCTTCAGTAGAATTACCATTTTTTCATGGTTTGGGTTGAACGCATACTTGTAAGAGTCCCACAGCAGGCAAACCCACTGGGCCTGATTTCGGGATTCTGAGATTCTGCGCCCCTTTTGCTACTGGACCCACGTCGAGAACCCAAATCCTCTACCCTGAGCAAGCAGGACGGCCACTGCACCCGAATCGGAATCTCAGTGTTAAGGCCCTGAAGGAGCGAGAGAGAGAGAGAGAGAGAGAGAGAGAGAAAGAGAGAGAGAGAGAGCTCATTTTAATGGGGGGTCCCCCTACCTCCGAGTTCCTAAGTCCCCACGCACCGCCGTGAGTTGAAGCCTTAAAGGGGGGTAGGATTCAGGGGAACCCTTGGGGATATAGATATTAGATATAGACCCTCTCAGTAAGGTCCCCTTTAAGAGAGCCAGGAGTCGGGTTAAGGAGGGTCCCCTTTAAGGGGTCTCCCTAATACTACCTAGGATTATTGAAGCCTTACCCTTTTTGAGAAGCCCAGGTAGAAGCCCCCAACATTGAAAAGCTTAAAACCCCTGACTGAACCCCTAAACCCATAATGTTTAGGGTTTAGGCTTTAGGGTTTACCCGACATTGAAAAGCCTTAACCCCTGACGAGGCCCTTGTAGCAGATGCCAAGACCTAAAAGCCTTACACCTGAGCTGCCAAAGGCTCCAGGAGCGTGCGCAGGTAGAGCACATCCTGAGCAAATCTGCAAGGACTTCAATGAAGGAACGCGTGCCCAATCTAAGACCCCATACACAAGCTGTTAAAAGGGCGTCTCAACAAATATCAAGCCCTGTGCAAAGCTACATCTGAAACCCAACTAAGCCCTGTCGAAGCAAAAGCTCAAGTTCCTTCACAACGGCCTAAAACCTCTAGCCTAACCCTCAACCCTCAAGCCTCAACCGAAAACCCTTTTTGCACAGGCTTGCGTGAATCTCGCC